CGGGGTTGGGCGTGCCGGGGCCAGCGGGTTGGTGCCGTCCGTGTTCCTGACGCGGAAGGCGATCTTGATGGACTCGGGGTCGATGAAGGACGTGCCGCTGGTCAGCGGGATGGGCTGGTCCAGACCCTAGAGGTTTGTTGCGGGAGAAGGTGCTCCAGCGAGATGGGGATGTTACTGCACGTCATGCCGCGCCGTTACGTAGCTAGTGTTGCTTGTTTTCAGCTTGTAGGTCCTGGCTCTGCATCAGTCAACCTGGGCTCCGGCGGTGACTACCTCCATGCTTGTTGTTTAGTATACACGCATTCTTGACTCGTTACGGCGAAGGAACATCTAGCAACATGCTTGAAGCATCGGACGGCCCCATCCTACAACTATCATGGCATTAAGAACCAACCTGTTCGTGCAAAAACAAGACGTATGAGGCACTCTGCTTGGAAGCTGCAATTTGCCTGAAGTTCAATAGCATTTTTTTGCAGCGCAAAAGTTGCAAAAGCTATTAGTCCAGGGTGTATATTCATATACGGCCTGGACTGATAGCATTTTTGTTGCGCAAAACCGTGCAAAAATAAACTCTCCCCGAGGAGGGTTATTTTTTTTTTTAAGCAGCCTCAATGTCTCGCGCCAGCTGGTCAAAGCTGGGCGGAGGCAAACTCCGGCGTGACTGCCCGGAACTGGAGTTCGCCCGCGAGCTCTGAGTAGCACACTTTTTTGAAGCTGGGCGGAGGCGGACTGGGGCAGGGCCACGGGGTTCAGGCCCCAGAGATGGACGCGGGCAGTGTTGTTGGACTGCGCCTTGCACGCGGAAGCGGAATGCGAAGGGGAGGCCTGCGGCCTGTTGCGGGGCGCCGGACGTGCTGCTGCCGGTTGCGCTGCGTGAATGGGGCTGAGGGATGTTGATGATTTATGGAGGAGAGGTTAGAGGTTTGTATGTGTGGCGTCGTTCATGCCGTTGGCGGACCGGACGTCCTGCACGGCCGCGTCCTCGCTGCCCTGCTGGGGCCGGAAGAGCGTGTTCTCGAGGACCCAGCCCGTGCCGCGCGCGAGGCCGTAGGCTGCGCCGCCTGCGATGCCCACGGCCAGCCCCGCCGTCGCCGCTGCGCCAACTCCCGCCACGCCAGCCAACGTTCCAGCAACCTCGCCCGCCGTGGGTGCGAGGGCTGCTGCTCCTTCAGCCAGGCCCCCCAGGTATGCTAACTTGCGCAGTGGCCGGTTGCGGCGCGTGTCTTCTATGAAGCCTGCAGGTTTCGTAAGTCAAACAGATGCCCTGTGTTAACCAGCCTGTTGGTGGCTGCTTTCGCAAATTGAAAAGTGTAGGAAAGCAGCCAGCATTTCTGCTGCAAGATTTGGCTTGACAAGGTCTGCAGCTTCTTGCCTTGGACACACTATCACAAGTTGCCTGGTCTTCTCGCACGGACACACTGGTGAAGTCACTGGTGACCTGTGTCTTACACACACAGACACAGCGCGCCGCTGGGTGTGCCGGTCTACCCCCAAAGCCTGGCTTACCCTGTGGCAGGTCGCAGACTCTTGCGCTTGTTCACGTTGGCTTGAATCGGCTTGAAGTCCACAATTTAATTTGATCGTTGGAGAATGAGAAGCTGAGAAGAATCGCTCAAGCTGAGTCTAAGTCTGCAGTCAAAGCTTTCTCAAATTGTTTGTTTGGTCTCCCCGCGCAGAGCCCCGGCGGGCGGCCCACGGTCGACCACACCGTGTCCCATCAGCCTGCGACAGCCTGTGTCTTAACACACAGCGCAGCGCGTCGCTGATGGGCGGGTAGGCCCGAATTCAGGATTGGAAGATGCCCACTATCTCAAATCGCTTAGTCGCCGCGCCGCGGCGCCGCGTCGCGTTGTCTCTCACTCCCCATCCGGCCCGAGTCCGAGTGGAAGCTCACAGTCTCTTCAAGTCTCTTCGTGTTCACAAGTTCACAGATGATTCACAGCTTGTCCCTGGCCTGTCACTGTCACTGTCACTGTCACGAAAGTCTCAAGGACTACGGAGTACTACGGAGTCTCGACGGCAACTCGACGGTGGACCGTGCAGGCTGGCGGCTGATGGGCGGGGCTGGAAGGTTCGAAGTTCGAAGTTCACAGGTTGATTCTCACAGACTCAAATCGCTTGGTCTCCCCAATCAGAGTCCCGGCGGACGGCCCACGGTCGACCACACCGTGTCCCATCAGCGCGCGGGAGTTTACCCCCGCGCGCGCTGATGGGTGGGTAGGCCCGACGAATGCAAGGATGTTCACAGCTCACAGATTCAAATCGCTTGGTCTCCCCATACAGAGTCCCGGCGGACGGCCCACGGTATGGACACCACCGTGTCCCACAGGCGGCGCGGGAGTTTACCCCCGCGCGCGCTGACAGGTGGGTAGGCCCGAATCGCTAACGCAAGGTTGGAAGTTCGAAGGATCGAATTCGAAGATCACAGATTCAAATCGCTTGGTCTCCCCACACAGAGTCCCGGCGGACGGCCCACGGTCGACCAGGACCACACCGTGTCCCATCAGCGCGCCGCGCGGGAGTTTACCCCCGCGCGCGCTCGCCGCGCTGATGGGTGGGTAGGCCCGAATCGCAAACGCAAGGTTCGAAGTTCGCAGCTGACAGATTGATTCAAATCGTGTGGTCTCCCCATACAGAGTCCCGGCGGACGGCCCACGGTTGACCACACCGTGTCCCACCAACGCGCGGGAGTTTACCCCCGCGCGCGCTGATGGGTGGGTAGGCCCGAATCGACGAATGCAAGGATGTTCACAGATTCAAATCGCTTGGTCTCCCCATACAGAGTCCCGGCGGACGGCCCACGGTTGACCACACCGTGTCCCATCAGCGCGCGGGAGTTTACCCCCGCGCGCGCTGACAGGTGGGTAGGCCCGAATCGCTAACGCAAGTTGCCGCAAGGTTGGAAGTTCGAAGGATCGAATTCGAAGATCACAGATTCAAATCGCTTGGTCTCCCCACACAGAGTCCCGGCGGACGGCCCACGGTCGACCACAGGGTGTCCCATCAGCGCGCGGGAGTTTACCCCCGCGCGCGCTGATGGGTGGGTAGGCCCGAACGCAAGGTTTGAAGTCCACAGTTGGCGACCGTGAAACGGCGTCGGCGCTTTCTTCAATTTCCACGCGGGCCTGGCCTGGCCTGGCTGAGGAGCCAGGACTTGCAGAGGCTGCAGAGGCTCCGCTACCAGGACCATGACAAGCGGAATCTTCAGTTTTCACTCCCTGCCGGGCCTTCACTGCGCGGTTGCGTCTGCCCAACCAAGCAACCCGTTTGGAAGACAGCGTGCCACAGACCTGCGCAAACACCTAGATGAAGACCTATTCATATACAAGGGTGTTACAAGGGTAGTTGGGGACTGGGGAGGAAAAAGACCTAGTTGCGCGGGCAACAAAAATGTAAAGCCTGTAAAGCTGTGGGGGCCCACATCCTCAGAGTCAGAGGTCACCCTCAAGCCCCAGCAAGCTCCTCAAGCTACGTTTGCAAAAAAGCAGAAACTTGAAACTTTAACCCCAGAGGATCTTTTGGACTTTTGGGACGATTACGCAATTGACAATGCCCAAAATGCCCTAATGCCACCGATGTGTCCATTTGAAGTTCAACAACATTGCGCAAAGAGCAGAAGCGCGAGCAAGAAGACAATCGCAGCAACGCAACGCAACATGGAGAGTGAAATTAGACAGCGGCTGGGAGCTGGGAGCGTCATTTTGGCCATGAATAAGAAGATCAGTGAGGTTTGCGGTTTGCAGCTTCATTGAAGAGATGTCTGGCCAAAGCCGGCAAAACACAATGACTGACGGAGGTCGCCAGGGTGCTAAGATGCGCCCGCCCATACATGTAGGATCATGTTGGTTACGCGGCTATGCGCAAAGTATTCGCAGAAGGACATGAAACTATGTGTTGAGCCTAATAGGAAACCGCTTGCTGCGACACGTGCGCATGAGCCAAAAGAAAAAAACAACAAGCGGGGAAATCGGGATGGGTTCGGTTAGGGTTAGGTTGCAACGCAACACGGCAGCGAGAAGAGCGCCAGCACGAAAATGTGTTCCAGCGCAAGGCGAGCTTCAAGTTCCGCAATGTCTTATGTCTGTTCTTGAAACGCGTCAAAAATCAAAATCAAGCATCTCAAGCAACTCCCGAAGCCCGAAGCCCGAGCCGAAGCCCCTTCAACCCCGCAATCACAACAAAAGCACCCTAAAGGCAAAAGGCGCGAGAGCGCGAAAGTTCCACGCCACTGTCTCCAGCTCCACAATCGACAACATCAGACATGAAGCGCTGAAGCACCCCAAACCCTAAGCGGCGCGTCCAGACATTTTACCGCCATCAATCTGCTTGCAAAGACCGCCGCTCAGCGCGCTCCACCCGACCCGACCTGGCAAGACAAGCGCCAAGCAGGCAAACGTCAAAAACATCTCGTTTACTCAAGCTGCCAACCATCAAGTCATCAAGTTGCTCAAGATTCGATCAACATGCAAATGTTCGTAGCCTGGCTTCCAACAATCGCAACACATTAAAAACAAGTTGAAAATGGGAAGGTCCCTGGACAGCATGGCTGGCCTCCGGAAAGCTGCCAGGCTGCCACAATGGACTCAAATGGACTCCCTGCGCAACAGCCAAATCTCAAGGCACACCATGAAAGAGCAATGGCCTGGGCTTCCGAGACCGAGACCAGTTGCCTGTGGAAGCCTGGGCCAAACTCTGCTTACGAGCAAGCAAAACTAAATCTTGGGCCGCTGCCAACCACCACGCAAGTCCTCGGCGAACCTGCCCGCAGGCCACAAAACATGCCTATCAAACGCTTGGCTAACATGGCCTAGAATTTGTCAAGATTCGAATCCTCATCAGCCTCCTGTTCAAAATGAAGCCAGAGCACCTCCAAGGATGGCCACGCAACCAGAAAGACCAAAAGCTTGTGGCAAGTCGCAATCAAAGCTCACCGAAAGGCAAATGCACAAGTGAATCTTTCTCAGCTCGCAAATCGCCAGTGCCAGAGCTTGCAGCAACATCTACGGCGGGCTCAAAAAAGGCGACATCGAACTGGCGGACGCGGCGGACCCAAGTGACCCAAGACTCATGCAGCTCGCGCCACGGCCTAGCGGCCCAGCCCCCTTCTTCTTGTTAGGAGTCCTGTATGCGCCTGCTGCAGGGCTATTGATGTCTGCACACTCTTGAGCCTCTTCACCTCTTTCACCACCACCTCGTACATCTGTCGGCGGCTTGGGCTCTGGCACAAGGAAGGATCCCAGGGAAAGGCCCGAGGCGGGGTGCGGCTTCACCTTGCGCCGCAAGTTGGCGATGACATATGCGCCAAGCAGCCCAGCAACTGCTCTGTGCATGGCATTGCCAGCCATAGATTTCCAGCAGTGCTCACTGAAGCCCATCTGCTTGCTCACGCACATGATTTGTGGCCAGTTGCAGGGCGCCACCTTGTCATCAAGCTTTCGGAAGCAGGGAACTCCTTGAAACAGGAGGTGCTCAGACGCCAAAGCCAAGCGTTCCTTTGTGTTGCTCCAAAGAAGGCTTCCGCGAAGGAGCACTGGAACAAAATCGTTTGTCTTTGTCCAATCCACTTCCTGTTGAACGTCGCAGACCCAACTGTGCACTTCAAGCCCGCGCATCTTCTCCTCTGTGTTTTTGAGCCGCCGCTTCTGAGCAGGAGTCAGGAGTGCGCGAGCATCGATGTGGCCATCAGCGCTGACCTTGTGCTTCTTGGCGGCAGCCTCTTGCAGCCAGCAGGCCACGTCCCCCTCCGGAGCCGAGCCAAGCAAGGTCGGGGACATCCCAAAGATCTGTAGAAAGCGCGTCACATCGCCAGTAAAGAACCAGCCCCTGCGCAGGACTCCCACTGTGTACCGCCTTGTCCTCCGCACAGGCCATCCTAGGTGCTCCGGAGAGACCTCAAAGGCGTGGAGAGCATACCTGACAGCCAACGCAGTGCAGCACTTTGCACAAGAAAGAACAAACAGAAAACAAAAAAACTCAAGCTTACAACTTCCAACAGCATACAACCGCACGACATGCTCATTGCTCATAATGAAAGCATTTCTCAAGGTGAAGCAAAGCACGCCCCTGAAAGGAACTCGGACAAAATATCCTCATCATGGGCAGTAACGTTCTCGTGGATGACAATCTGGGACAGGTTGCGAAGGGTCACGCAAACCCAGACTACAAACACAAAAAAATTGCTTGCTCCGTCTTGCAGTCTGCTCTTGTTCATGCGAGACCACTGGTAGCACTCTGTTCCAGAAATTCTCACGCGCACTGTCTCTGAGGCGCAGCCTTGGCGTGTCACCGGCGCAAACTGCCCGCTGACCATGTCATACTGGGTTCTGTTCTTGGGCAAAAACTCTTCCATGTTGCCCTTGATGCGGTTCGCCACCTCTCTATAAGCTTTCTTCTTGACTTCAGGAGGCTCATCTGCGTTGGGCAGCATCTCATAAAGCATCTCCAGCTTCTCGTGCGGAATCTGCTGCACCAAGTCTCCAAACACACGCGTCCGCTGGTTGCGGTCGCCTCCAAGCCTGCCATCCGGACCGTCGCCTTCATCCGAGACCAGCAGCTTCAGCAGAGCTTGGCAGCTGGCGTCCTTGTCGCAAACACTGTGAATGCACACCTGAGCATCCTCCACTCCTGCATTCTTCAACGCGCACAGCAAGCCGCCCTCCCCGTTGCCGCTGCCACTGTGGTCCGAGTCAATGACTATGCCTTGCTTTAGGCGGTGCTCAAGGTTGTTCGACAAAGAACTGTCAGCCATCAACTTGGTCTTCACTGCGCTGGCCCACTGGAAGAGGTCCTCCACGTTGTCTGGCCCAGGCGGCATGGGAGGCAAAGCAGCGGCCTTTGCCTTTGCCTTTGCGGCTCGGCTGGCACCGGCACTGGCAGGTCGCTTCATGGCTGGAGGAGGCCTAGAAGTTGCAACCTGAGCTTACTTCACTCCTAGATGCATCACATTGGCTCAATGGCCTGAACTTGAGAAGCAAATTTGCACTTCGCACTGCCCAACTTCAGCCCGCAGCTGCACAAAGTTGCAGCAACCACTCCCAGCTTCTCGTGTAGCTTGAACTTTGCACAGCACTTGCGCCCGGCACTTTCTCAAACCCAGCCTTGCGACTGCGTGTCTGAGAACTGCCAGGTCTGACCTGCATGCGTTTGCAGCCCAAAGCAAAAATTGCAAACAGACATGGCCTGGACACCACCGGATCTGGCACAGTGAAACTCCAACAACCTCGCCGCTGCTTCCTGGCAGCAAGCGTATACTGAAGCCAGCATCCTAAGCCCTAAGCTAACATCAACTCACATCTGTAAGAAATGAGGATCTGGCGCAAACTCCAACATCAACCTCGCCGCTTCCCTTCCTGGCGCAAGCGCGCACAGTTGCCTGTTGCCAGCATCCTAAATAAGCTGACATCAACTCACATCTGACGCTGACAGAACTAAGGATCTGGCACAGTGAACTCCAACACCAACCTTGCTGCTGCTTCCTGGCCGCAAGCGTGTACTGTACTGACGCCAGCATCCTAAACCCTAAGCTAACATCAACATCAACTCACATCTGACACAACTAATCATCTGGCACACAAACTCCAACAGCACCCTCACTGGGACCCTCACCGCTTCTTCCTGGCCGCAAGCGTTTAGCGACGCCTTCGCCCTATACGAAATCCTAAGCTAACATCAACTCACATCTGTCAGAACTAAGGGTCTGGCGCAGTGAGGCGCAGTGAAACTCCAACATCAACTTCGCCCCCCTGACCTGGCCGGAAGTGTGTACTGTCGCCAGCATCCTAAACCCTAAGCTGACATCACAACTCACATGACGCTGACAGAACTAAGGATCTGGCACAGTCATAGTGAAACTCCAACATCAACCTCGCCGCTGCTTCCTGGCCGAAAGCGTGTACTGACGCAGCCTCCTAAACCCTAAGCTAACATCAACTCACATCTGGCGGAACTAAGGATCTGGCACACCGAAAACTCCAACATCACCCTTGCCGCTACTTCCTGGCCGCAAGCGTTTACACGGCGACCTAAACACTAAGCTAACATCATAACATCAGCTCACATCCGGGCCGCTGTCAACTCATACAACCGATGCGTTCAAAAATGTCGCGCCTTTTGCTGCGACATTTTGGGCCCTCCAGAGGCCGCGCAACATCCCCAGCCTCGCCAAGCTCAGCCACAAGGCTCAAGGCAACACACAACCCAGCAAGGCAACATCAGCTGCAAAGCCAATGAGGGTTACGGCTTTTTTGTAGGTGTCGCCAATGCAAAGGCGTGCAGTGCGAATCTGATTGAATGCAATCTTTTTTGGACCGAGATTAGTTATAGATAATTAACGCTTCGTATATACCACATTTTGAAGATAAAATTCAAAATCTATATTATATATAAAAAAGTTTATTTAATACATAATAAAATTACTTATATCATAATTATATCATAATAATCTATTTATTTACTATATATTTTACAAATAGTCAAATCAAAGACAATAACAAAACGATAATCATATATTAAAATCATATTTTTCACAAATTAATATTTTTTCATATTATTTTTTTATTTAATACATAATATATCATGGATCAAAAGGACAAAATTAATTTTTTGGGAGACTTTTTGGGCCTGCAACATCCCCACATCTATCAGAACGAAGGATCTGGCGCGGCAAGACTCCTACAGCACACACCGGAGCTGGACCCCGCCCAACCAAAAAACCCCCGTTTATGGACCATTGTTAGGACCCCCAACCACTCCAACATCATACTTCCCTCCTCGTCAAAGCTTGAAGAAAGCAGACCACCCTTCGCGCATGGCCTTGAAGGAAGCCAGGGCGTGGAAGACCATCATCCTTATCCTGAAGCAAAACTCGATGCAACCCATTCAGGCTTCATTCAGGCATGACCGCGCGCACGTGCCGTGACAGAACAGCTTGCCTGACACGATGTCATATTTTCCACCAAATGCCAATCGCCGAATTGCCAATCGTGGCATCAAGTCTTTTGCACTAGTCCTCTTCGGCAAGCGTGTTCATGTAGTCCAGGACCTCTTTCATCTGCTGCTGCACTTTTTCCGACTCTCCCCAATTGGTCATGGCGAGGATTTGCTTCATAGTTTCCACGTCACCTTCCAAGTTGCGCCAGCTGCACCAGCACGAGCGAAGGAACACGCTCTTGCTTTCCAGACCAACCTCCCAGACCATTGACATGGGCGGCACATACAGCAAGTCATACTCGGTCAGCACAATCCGTCTCATGGACTGTGTCTCAAAACACTCTGTGAGATGTTCCAGAAGGTAGGCGCCGTTCAACCAAGCAGTCCAGTCAGTGGCTGGACCAAGATTGGAGCACACACTCAAGTAGGTCTGCAGCGGCATGATCAGCATATCCAGGCCGCCCTCCAGCACCAGCAAAAAGCGCGGCGTTTCAGCCACACTCACTGTCTGCTGCCCGCCAAGAACTCCCACCAAGGCCATGGCACACAGGCTGCTGACCCTCTCGCTGGCCTGCTGACCATCCTTGCACATCTTCGCCATGGAGTCGCCCTGCATCTCTGTCAAGATCTGCGCCACCTGTGTCCCAGTGCCATCCTGGATCTTCAGGAAAGCACGGCCATGCTTCTGTGCTGGGGCAGATGATTCGAACTGCGAGCTGAACATCATGAAGCGGCCATGCACGGCAGCGTCAGAAGTCAGAGCAGATTTCAGGCTTGCCTCATCATGCAAGACCCACGGAGCGGCCCACAGCTCATCAGCATTCTCGTCCCGATTCTTCAGGAAGCTCGCCTGGTCAGAGAACAAGAGAACTTCCTTGACACCCGGGCCGCCGTCATCCTCCAAAGCAGCCAGACGCTTGGGCATGGTATCAGCCTTGCTCTTTCGCTGTCTCTTCTGGCCCTTTTTCGCTTTGTTCTCCTGCTCCTTCTTCTTCTTGGTTTCTTCTCTGGCAAGGCGTTTCTGGTCCGCTTCCTGCAGAATTTGCGAGGGGCCGAGGGGGGGTGGTTCCTTGGAAAATGATTGAAAAATGCCTCCTCAAAAAAACTTAGGCGTGTTCTTTTGAAAAAGGCACTTCCCTGGAAAGCTGCTGTGGAAAAACACCGCACACGCAAATTCAAACAGAAAAAGCTACATGTTCGAGCCGCTCGACTTGAGCCCGAGTCCTCTTGCTTCTTGCGCAACTTCTCTCTCTGCCGGCAGTCTTTCACAGCCTTCAAAACCTCTTGCATGGCAGTTGAAACTGCGCTGTTCAATTGCTTCAGCGCAGTGCTTCCGCCGGCAATCACATTGATGATCGTCTGCAGGTCATCTTGCGTCTCTGCGGTCTTCAAACTCAGGATGCGAAGCGCCAGTGAGCCAAAGCTGCAGAGACAATCGGGCTGCGCACAGGGCTTGAGTTTGAGCTGGCCGGCACAACTGGCCATCTTGGCATCGTGCTCCTTGTACTTGCTCTTGCCAATCTTCACTGCCTCCTGGACTTTGCTTGGGGCGTCAACAAGGGCAGCCCTGCAACATCCAAGCGCTCCTTCGCCAACCAATTTCTTGTACTCTTCCAGCAACTCAGACTCCGAAGTGTCCAGCTCTGCCACCTGAAAAAAACAAATGAGATTTCACACCAAACTGACAACCATGACAACATGCAAACAACTGAAACTTGCACGTGCCTCAACGCTTAGCATGATTGAACGATGCCTTGAGAGTCGAGACCGACAATGCCGCAAACAGACTCAGACTTCAAGCACTTCAAGCACGAGCGACGAGCATGCAGCAGACCTGGTGACCAAGCCTGCGCGTTCAACGTGTCGTAGTTCTTGCGAAACGGCATCAGGAGCACCACCTCAAACTGGTGGGCCCACTGCTCGAACGCTTTGAGCCGCTCCACTGCAAACGCCGCAGTGTTCGCACCGGCCACTTCGCTGTGCTCCGGACCACTTCCTTTGCCAGGACCCTGGCCATCCTTGGCTGTGGCTTTGGCTTTGGCTGACACTGACACTGGCAACTGAAGCGCTTCCTCTGGAGCTTCAAGTGTGGCTGCCAAGTTTGCCACAGCTGCGTCGCCTTTGGAGACTGCCCCCTCTTTGCGGCATTGGTTGGTGACCGCTGCCTCGTCAAACTCCTGGAAGAAGTCCTTGGTCTTCAACCGAACTCGTTCAGGGTTGCTTGGGTTGTCTCCTTCGTAGTCAACCACAGCTGCAACTGCTGCGCCCCAGCGTTTCTCTATCTCCTGCTGGCAAACGGCAAACGCGCCAGAGGCGACTGAGGTTCACCGGGTTTTCGGTTGACACTGTGACACCTTGCTCATTGCTCGCAGGCTCGCAAAATTCAAAACACAAAGCACGCACTGGGCACTGAGCACTGTTGCATCTCCCTACTTACTTATTTGTCTGTCCTCCGTTGGGAGCAACTTCTTCTTGAAGTAAGCCTGGAAGTCGAACCAGTCCACAAGCTTGCCTGCGCTGCCGGTCTGGTGCTTCTTGCTGAAGGCTTCTATGCTCTCAAGCCGTGCCAGCTTGTAACTTGCCCGAGCCTTGCCGCGCCCTCCGCTCGGACATTGGTTGTGGTAGTCTCTCACGAGCTTCCTGAAGACCTCACCGCCGGCAGCACGAACTTCTTCATACCTTGCGCTCCAACCGTTCTTGACGCTGTCAGCCTTCAAGCCCTCTATGTCACACTTGCATTCTTTGCACCACGGATGCTTGGCCAGAACTTGCTGGGAAGGGTTCTGGCATATGGGGCACACCTTGCGGCCCGAGCCCTTTGGACCCCCACCGCCTTCGCTCCCAGAGGGCCTCTCAGGCGTCTCAGGTGGAGCACTCCTTCTTTTCGGACCGGCACCGGCTTTCGCCTTCCTCTTTCCACCAGCTTTTGCCTTCGGCGCCGCTGGTGCTTCTTCCAAATCCAACTCAAACTCTTCGCCGCAATCTGCCATGGGGAATCACGCTAAATGAGCCATGTCAGCCATGTGACATGTGGTGCAATGCAATCACATCTGCTGACAAAGTCAATCAACCACACCAAGCAATCGACAGCGAGCCTCCCGCAGAAGCCACCAGGCACTCTCACTCTACCTCCGCACACAGGACAAAAGAAGCCAAGTCTGCACGTGCAGATCTCAATCAATCGCAAACGGACTCAAGCTTGCCAACCGAACTTTTTTACAACAGCGCATCCCCAGTCCCCAAACCCTAAGAGTGGCCGAGTGGCTCGTCTGAATTAAATTGAGTTTCGAACGCACTCCTTGCAAGGCACAAAGCGCTTGAAATCAACATCGGCTCGTCTCAGGTGATGGCAGCCTACATGAAAGACATGACGCGGCCCTCTGCTTTGCTGGGCTGCCACAAACACCTCCTGGGGCAAGCTGCTGTGGCTCGCATTGCTTTCCGGAAAAGCACTGGTTTTGCGCCGAGCACGCAACTCCTTGATCTCCTTCTCCAACTCTCGCACGCGCTGTTCAGCGCACAAACACTGCAGGCATTGGCCATCAGTCTCAGGACTTTCAGGCTGCCACAGAGAACGACGAGCTTGCTGAGGCTGCCCTGGCACGCGTCTGCTGCAAGTCCACAAGCTTGCACAGCTTCCCAAACCAACAGCCAAAGCAACGCAAGCCGCTGCCACGAACACCTCTTCCGGAAAATAGGAGCCTGCCAGGATCCACTGAAAGCACATGGCCACCATCGCCAACAGAATATTTTGCAGCTTCCAGAAATGCCTCGAGCCAAGCTTTGCAACCAAAGGCCAAGGCCAAAGCTCTTGCAAGAAATCATCACCTCTTTGACAGGCAAGTTTGGTGCGGACATGGAACAGACCTGAGGGCCAAACCTTGGCTCCAGAAGGCGCTTGTGGCTGGCCGGTTGCCTGGCACAGCAAACTGCAGAAGCACAAGCACACTCAACCAACTTCGAAGGCCTTGGATCTTCCGGCTGGAGCCAGAAGCTCTGGCCTGACAATTCCGGGCCAATTCCGGGGAGCTCTGGACTCTGGCTGGGAAACTGCCACCGCGGCCTTGTCTCTGCCGCAAAGGGTGCGGATGCCTCAGGACCGACCACAACGGCAGGGCGCAACTTGCGGACTGCCACTTGCGGACAAAAGTTCCGGGGAGTTCCGGGGAAACCAGTAGTTCCGGGGGATTTGAGGTGTTTCTGCAGGTTTCAGAACCTGCCGGATTTCCTGGCTCCTGGGGGGGAGCTTGGCCCAAAGAGCATTTTAGAAAGGGAACCACTTTCTCCAGGACAGATTTTCACAAGTTCCGGGGAAGTTCCGGGGAGAATCGGGGGGTTCCGGGGGAAGTTCCGGGGGGTTCCGGGGAAGTTTGCACCCAACTGGTTTTGCGCAAATTGAGTTTCTGGAACGCAAAGAAAACCCAAACGCAGAGCCAGAACCCCCAAAAAATCCTAAGTACAGGAAATCTGGGGGAGAAAGCTGCCTCAGTTCATGAAATGGGGGTTCCGGAACCCCTGGCAAAGGCCCTTGGCTGACGTGCTGAAAAACACTCATCCGCTCCAAAATGCTTCAAAATGGAGGCATAGGTTATGACCCATCTGAAGTAAATCAAGCACCGAAATGGAACGGTCTGGCTCTTTTTGCTGGGCCGGGCGCAGCTTCATTCTGAATCGCTTGTGGAACTCTCGGAACAGCTGTTGCTGCTGCTCTCACTGCTACTACTGCTGCTGCTGCTTTCGCAGCAGCAGGAGGCCTTTGCTGCAGGCGCAACCTTTGCCTTTGCTCCAGCCTTTGAAGGTTTCCCCTTTGCAGGTCTCTTCCTAGCTGGCTCTGGCACTTCGTCATCTGCAGGCCGCTGGCGGTTGACAGCCTCCTCGCTGGGCAAAGTGCTCTCCAACGCGTTGAAAGATTGGTGGGCGCTCTTCGAATCGTAGGATGTTGCCATGTTGCACCAATGATGTATTCTGCGCAAAGTAATCCTCAGAGGATGGCATTCAAGCAAAAACAAAAAGGGTGGTGACCTACAACATAAACCAACAAGAAAGCAAAGCCACTTGCAGAAAAACTGTCTGGTTAATATCAATTGGGCAGCTCCTCTGTGGCTGCAACAAAGGACAAACTCTTTGTGCAGCGCGCGCTCTCGTCTCTGTGCGCCAAGCAAATGGCCTGCCAGCTTTCCTTCCCAGCCTTCGTAATTTTGTGGGTGATTCGGAATGGCCCCCACATGTGAGTCTTTTCTCTGACCACGCGCTTTGTCGCAGCCGTATCAGGGCCCACATCCTCCCCCGCGCTGTCTCTTGCATCACGGCTGCCACCTGCGACTTCACCTGAAACCTCTGCCTTTAATGAGCACTTGCTTCTGCGGCCGGCGCATCGGGATGTTCTGCACGCGCTTCCTCAGCCTCCTCTTCCGCCAACAACTTTTCCAACTCTGCTTCCAACGAGTTCTCAAACTCTGCAATCTCTGGGTCCAAGTTTTCGGAGTTGCCATCAGCATCAGAACAAGCTTCCGGGTCGGGCAAAACGTTGGCATTCGCTGGCCTTGCTGGCTGCTGGTCGTCCTGCATGCGCAAGAAATCGTCCAGCGGTCTCTTCTCCCACGCTGCCTCTGCAAAAATTTTGAAAAACTGTTCAGTTTGCGTGTGCGGCAGGGCCTGGATTCCGCACGCCAATAGCATATCACGCCTCAGCTCAACAGCCAGCATGGCTGACAAATAAGCGTGACTTGGTACGCCAGCCTTGTACACCCACATTTTGTGAGGAGGCCCAAACTCTGAAAGGATATGGCCCTCGCCCACATCCTCCACATGCAAAGACAAATCTGACCTCAACCTTGGTGGAATCTTCCGAATGCTCACGGACGCCCATCCCTTGCTCTTCAAGTGCTGGGCAATTTCGAAGCGGGTCCACTCAAGCTTCTCTGGCAAATTCCTGTGGGCCAAAACAGAGCATGGACTTCGGAGCGTGAACAACTGCTGAGATTGCTCCACAGCCTTGGGAGTTAGGCGCCAGTTGCTGCTGGTGGCAGCTGTCTCTTCTGCAAAATCTTCCTTTGCAAGCCCTTCCCTTTCCATCTCTGCCAGTATCAGCCTTTCTGCTTGGCCAGACACGCTGCCTTGAACTTTGTGGGCTTCTTTCGAGTCCGGCAAAGCTTTTGCTGCTCACAGCCTGGAAACTGCCTCGGACCACTTTGCTGGCCAATTTCCTCGCAGCGCAAAGGTGGGCTCCGGGTCAGTGGCGAACACAAACACCTTGTCCCGAAATAAAGCTTCATTCACCAATGCCACAGCCGTGGCTGCAGTCCCGGACTTGCCTAACAAAGCCGAATCTGAAATTTGTGGGCGAACAAACGGCACAACAAACTAACAAAGAAAACAAGCGAACCAGAACTGCTGCTCAGCTCAGCCCTGCAACCTTCTGGCACCCCAGTTGTGCGAAGCGCCTGAGTGTCTGAATCCAGCTCCGCTATTGCGTACAAACTCACCGCCACATCCTTCGCGCAAAGCGAAGCCTGGAAGTTGCCTTGAACTTGTTTCATTCGCGAAGGATACCAGTGGTTCACTCTGAAGAGTGTGCACCTAGACAAGCCATCTTCGGGGACTATGGCCACCTGCGCAGCTCCTGACCTGGTCAAACCGGCAGTCTCATCTTCAGTGATCTGGAACTGGAATCCAGCATCGTCCACCGCCAAAGCCAGCGAAGGGCTCGTGCTCAAAGATGGCGCAGCCAAAACATCTTGCATGAGCCTGAACAAATCACTGTCACTGTCATAGCGGGCATCGGTGTCTGCGAGAGGCACAAGGGCTGCATAGTAGAGCGCAGTTGCGCTGGATCCGGTTTGCCTCCAGTGCTCCAAGGCGAAGTGCTGCGTAATGTGGTCCGCATCTGCAAGCGCCAGCTGAGGCTTCTTTTTGCTGAAGCTGGTCAAGGAAAACATGTCTTCAAAGTTCCGAAACTGGGTTTGGCGGTCACACCTGTACACAATTTTGTCTGCCACGGGAAAGGTGGCCTTCTTTGCCTCACCAACTGCAGGGTGGCCCAGCAAGCCCAAATGCTTCAAAAGCCATTTTGCGTCTCTGCACTGCGCCAAAATCGTAGCCACTTTGGATAGTACACCAGCATCAGCGCCAAGCCGACTGCTGTCACACTGCAAAGGATTTAGCAATAGAGGCGTCCGCAGAGACAAAGATAGCAAGGCTCCAGAGTGGTTTGGAGCTCGAGCTACAATTCGGTGTATCTGAGCGTGCCTGCCTTCGACGCTTCTTTCCACAATTGGAATAAAGGAGACTGGAGCCAGGGCCTTGCGCCACTCTGCCATGTCTGCATCAGTGCGACTCAATTCACCACGCATGAAGCGCAGCGTAAGCTCCCGCAACTCTCCTGCATCAAGGAGCTTCCTGCAAAGTGAAAACCGAGATGCGTGCAAACACTCACTGCCGCTTTCCTTCAAACACTGCCACTGAGCGAGGACATTGCGGGCACAGAGGCGCGCCTTGTCATCGCAGGGGTGGCACAACCCAGCCAGCGCGTGAGGGAGCGTCGTCCAGAACCCAAACTTCAACTCAAGTAGAAACTGCATTCTCTGAAGCCCTTGGGACCAATCGGCAGTGCACTGAGGTGAAGCGAGCCAAGCGCCACTGAACTCGTTCTTCAACTCGTCCAGAAAACTGCTGATCTCGCCACAGGCGAGCTCTGGGGCCCGGCGGCCTCGAAGGGGGCAAGCCTGGGACAACACCCTCTCGACGCGCCTTTGCCAATGGCAGGCACAAGCCTGCGCCCACTCTGAGATTGCGTCCACAACCTGGAACAAGGCCCTCAGCATCTGCAAGTACGGCCACAGCTCTTGGCATGTCATAGCAGCGTCAAACGCGTGAAGACGTTT